AGGGTTGTAATCCCCATGGTTACAACTGCCCGCGGCCAGGTGCAGCTGAGACCCATGGCCACTTCAGAAGCAGGGAGCTGCATCAGAGCCTCCACCTTCCCTTTGATGGCACCTGTCAAGACTAGCCTGTGCTCAGCAGCAGCAGCTCTGCTCCCCATCGCCCCACACTAACCCCGGGGCAGCCTGGATGCGCCAAAGAGAAGATGCTGACGGGCCAGACAGGAGTTCTGCTACCTGCATTTGAGAAGCAGAGCACCCACTCGGCACTCAGAGAACCTCCACAGGGTCCAGATGTGCCACATCAGTATGCAGAGGTCAGAGGAATCCGGGCTCCTAAAGGTCACTGTCCCTGAGCTGCACTTGCAAATAAAGGGGTGCTGACTCGCCTACACAACCTCTTGGACCCCACCTTACTCCAGGAAGCTCAGAGGCCAGAACACCGGACAAGAAATCTGCCCACCTCAACCCTCCCACATGGACAGGCAGTCACATGAACCACAACCGTACATGACCTGTGCCGGATAAACGGGCGGGACACTGCAGGAACACGGAGAAGCCACCGCCTTGTCATGGAAATCTGAGCTGTCTTGAACCACACTCAGCTAGTTAGATGATACGATGTTCTCCAGCACAGCCAGTGGGGAAGACGCAGGAGGGAGGCAGCGAAGCGGCCAGGCCGGATCACAGCACATCTTATGCCAAGCCGATACCTCCGACTTCACCCTGGAGCCAGCCGGGAGCCACAAAGCATCCAAAGCGTGGGTGACACACCCCTTGCAGACAGACCTCCCTGGTGGCTTCTTGAGTCACCTTTGGGTGTCAGAGTGTAGTTTGCAGGTTTCTGGGGAAACCCACCCCAAAATGACATTCACAGCACACAGGTAAACTGGTGTAAGAGTTACAGCAGCGAGGCAGTGTAGCGAGTGGTTAGACACACACTCCACAGCCAGACAGCCCGGGTTCAAACCCAGCTCCTCACTCACTGTGAAACCCTGGGCAGGTCATCCCGTGTCCCCCGCCTCCCGCTGTAGGAGGGAGGAGACCAGACACCCCTCACAGAGCAGGGGGGAGGACTAAAGGGGGATTAATATCCAGGGAGTGCTGGTGTGTGGCCGGGCACAGAGGAGGCAGCACCCAGCATCCACCACCATGCAAATATTTTCATGCGTCTTGGAAACAATAAGTCACCTAAACTAGTGATGTCAGAGATGTTATAGCTCTGGACAAGACCAGGTGTTCAAGTGACTCTCTGTAAAGGTATTAAGTGAGCAATGCCTCCTTGCAGCAGGGATCTGCCTCTCACCTTTGTGTCCTGCACACGGCAGACACTCTCGAGGGGACTTCTCTGTCATAAAGGACCGTTTTCCTGTGAGACAAGGTACTTCCCAGTTGTGTATGTATTTCTTGTGCTCTGAAATTCTTGAGCAAGAAGGAAAAGATGGAGAAAGCAACCTTAGCCAGGGGAAAAAGGGAGGAGACGGCAAACCATCAACCACCTTTCACGCGAAGAGCCCCACCTCGGTCCTCAAACCAGAGGTCAGGAAGGCATTGACACAACTTACACCCGGCAAATTTACGAACAGCTTTCCGTAACATGTTTTTGTAACTATCTATGGTGACACATGTTAACCAGACTTACTGTCGTGATCGCTGCACAATATACACAAATGTCAAGGCCATTTTGCTGCACAGCTGAAATGAGTACGTTGTAAGTTAACTATCCCTCAAAAAAAAAAAAATGCCCACAAAGTCACCTGTTCAGAAACTGGAATATATTTCTCCAAATAATAAGGCTTTAAGTGGTGACTAGATCCCCGGGTTAGCTCACGAAGGCCTATTCAAGCCCAAATTCGACCTACATTTCCAGCTGAACAGCATACTGTGAATTTAGGGAACAGAGCAAGTGGTGGAAAAAGTCTAAGACAGAGATGAGTTCCTCCCAGGGAACTCCGCCCCCTTGAAGGGGAAGAGCCGGCGCCAAGCACGGTTTTGAAATAACAGCCATCTCCTCTCGGTCCTCCTCTCCCTCTGCCTGGAGTCCTCGGCCACCAGCCTCTTCAAACTCCTCCTGCTCTTGCCGGGCAAGTAGGAGTGTGACCCTGGCAGAGGAGACTGGAGCGTGAAAATGGACTTTTAGGAGCTAAGAGTCTGTGCCAAAGGTCTAGACGCCTGAAACACAATGTGCCAGGGGGTCCACAGGTGGTTTCATGGTACAGAGAGGGCCTCACGCCCTGCCCCCCGCACGCACACACACCCGCCGCATACAGGTAGTCACTTGTTTTCTGATAACTTCCTACATAAACTCTCCATTGTTCTATAGGTAGTTGCATTTTTTAAAAAAAATTCCAATCAAGCCAAATGAATTTTTAAGAATCTTTCACTTGGACATTTTAAGACACTGCAATAGTTGGAACAACAATATACGAGTCTTTAGAAACGCACCACTGAGTCGAGGAGGATGGAAAAGGGCAGCAGCTGAGTCTCCTCTCCCGCCAGGTCCCTCACACCACTTCTGCTCCCTGGCGCTTCGTTCCCCGCATTTCTGCACCCGTGGACTCTCCCTCCAGACTGAGCAGCCAGACCCTGCGGACAACACGGGGCCGGCACGCTCCCCCATGGCACCGCACAGCGCTGGGCGCGGACGCTACACGGGCGCCTGTCGGCTCAGGGCTCCGGCGCAAGCCTTTGGAGTTTTCCTAGGGAGAATGATGGCTTGTACCAGGGGTCCTTAAACTTTAAGGGGCTGGAGAGTAAATATTGCAGGCTTTGCAGGCTGTGTGCCCTGTCACTGCTATTCATGTCTTCACAGAGAGACGTAACCCAGTGAGTCTGGCTGTGTCCCAGTAAAACTTTATTCACAAAAGCACCCAGCCAGATCTGGTCCACGGGGTGTAGTTAGCAATCCCCAGATCACACTGAGCCATCTCTACCATAAGACTGGCTCTGAAATTAACGGCCATATGACACAGGGCTTTGTTGTGTGTTAAGCAATTTAGGATTCATACATTCATTTTAAACAATACATGTTACTCACCATGAAATTTTCTTGCTTTTTGTTGTTAACACATTTTTGCCATTTTTATACTTTAAAATGGAAAAGAAAAACCACAATTCATAACACAACCATGCCCTAATTCTACATCAAGCCCTTATTTACGCATATTTATCATCAGCGATCGTTCACTCTAACCATTACGTGCTTTCTGTTTGAGTTGACAACTGCTAACTGCAACTTGCTACAGTTCTTTATTTTCCAGAAAGTCGCAGTCGTGTTGGCAGTGGTAAACACTGCAGGTACTTTAGGGTCCAAAAAAGATGCCAGGAGTTGAAGCAGGGGATGGAGGTGGGGGCCTCAGGAGGATGAGGGAGAGTAAACACCAGGCCAGTGAAATAAGAACCACAAAGCTCCAAACATCTCCTGTAACCAGAGTTCAGTGTGTCTCACCTCTCCCGCTGGTCCTGATTAAAAAAGTAATATCTCAAGCCAAAAAGAGAAAAAGATGGTGACAACAGGACCCTGAGGCACGAGCAGCCGCATGTTGAGGACAGATGAGAGGGCCACATTGAAGAGGACGAGGGTCAGGTAAAGAGTGAGCTCACCAGACACCTTGGAAGGCAGCGCTCACAGGAAACATGGACCAGCCAGCAGGTCTGGGAGGCAAACAGTAAGTGTAGAAAAACCATCCAATGCGACAACCTAATAACACAGAGCAGCTCTCACCCCTCTTCTCCGGATGCCGTTTCTTGCCTCCACGCGGGTTTTTTCCGTCTCGTGTCCTAGAGTTCCATTTCCACCCACCGCCTCTCACACCCTCCTCCCTCCCCTCACCCACCTCCTTCCTCCACTTACTCACTTGACACTGAGGCATCAGTCCCTCCGTAAAATTTTCCTTCAAGCTGAGCTACAAGTGGCTTCTCTCCACCCCAACAGGCCACCGTAGGCCATGGCTCTGTCTCCCAGCCTCCCAACCAGTCAAACTAACCTGCACCTCAATCCCTAGAACTCGAGTGCCTTCTCATGCGCATAACCACCACCTGTCTCATCACATGCCTGAGTATTAAAGGCCTGAGCGTGTGGCACACAAGTGAGCATCAGGAGTGAGGGTGCGTTTGTGTGCAGGAGGGGAGTGACGGTGCTGGATGAGAGCTCTGAGCCCACAGACCAACGTGGGAATGGGGTTTCAGGTGGTCCAGATCACAAACTTACAAAGGTATATCCCTGGGCTCAAAGCAGCATCAATCTGTCCCAACCCCTAGGAGCACACCTCCAAGTGCATGATGCGGGCTCAGCCTCAGCCACGGGGCAGCCCGTTACAATGCTACCACAGTTACGACAGAAGTGGCAGCTGCGACCTGAAATCCCAACTGTGGAGTGTCTTCTATCCCGATAGAAAGCCTCTACTGTACTTATTTCTAATTCCTTTATGAAAGATATCCAAATTATACAGTCTGGGCTTTCTACTAATTCAGAATGGCCTTCAGTCATGTTTCTATGAAGTAACCATTTCTCATTAGACAGCTGTTGGTGAAACTTTTATCACCTTAGTAATGTGGCATGAGATGACCTTGCTTTAATAAAAATGTTACTGTTACACTAGGTACAAAATATGTTTCTATTGTTAAACTGTAATAAGAGTCCAGAATGTTTACTAGAAGGGGAAGGATGGTTGTGACAAAAGAATCCTAAGAAAGGAGAGAAACCAAAGTGTTCTCTCTTCTGCGGATAAACTGAGCTAAAGGTGTTCCTCTAACACTTAGGATGAAATCATGGAGCTTTCCAGCAGGCCATTCAACTCTGGAACTGGAAAGGAAGTGTCCAAATACATAATAGGATCTAAGTCTTCCCAATGCATCATGTGAGGCTAACTCTGAAGGCTGCCTGCATTCAGGACAACATGTCTTCTACTCAAACTGTCGTCAAGGAGAAAGACCAGCAACAGTGGGGAAGGCATCAAGTACCAGAGCTAGTTAGTGTGTCTGGAGGGTTTACACTGCGCCAGCTACTGTGGGTTCTTTTACTACTAACCACCACGCTACAGCGTGCGCTGCTCCCAAGGAAGCCAATTTTGAGAAACCGAAGTCAGCAGGTACAAAAAGTGGCAAAACTAAGGCAGCAGCCCTGATAAAGGAAAAGCTGACAGGATAATGCTACCACCATCCACACCTAAGAAAGTTTAAGTTGCTGAAAAACAGTCACAGGGCAAATTACAAAATAGAATCAACTGAGCGAGACAGGTAGAATGGTATAATGAAACGAGCCCTGGATTTAGAACCACAGTGCCTGTGTCCTGGTCCACGCTAAACACCGAGGCTGGAGTCCCCTCGCTATCACGTGGTCATGATAAAATACACCGCACTCTTTTGTGGTCACTAGGCCAGTGAGAATGAAAGGGAACGCGTCTGGCACCGTGCTTGGCAGAGAACAGATACTACAATAGCTTGTCCTTCTTTACCCTCGGTTCCCATTTCAAAATACAAGCAGACCAATCCTAGGTATACAATGTAAATCCTCCCCGGATGCCGCCTCCTCCTCCTCCCCTCACCCCCAACACATCCACAGAAACCTTTCAAGGTGGATCTCTCTGCTCTCGCTGTGAGGAGAGCTTTCCTATCACTCGTAATCTGCCCTCTAGTAACAATGCACAGAATTGTCTAAATGAAGCAAAATGAGATATTTCATACTTTCAATATATGGGAACCACGAGGTAGTATTTAAGTACCTTAAAGCTGTTCAGAAGAAAAAAAGATTACCATTTCATAACTGCTGCTGTTTCATTCACTTAAAACGTCAAGCAGTAATTTTAATAAGAAATTTTAAAATCTGAGAATACACAAAGATGTAATGTACACTACAGGGAATAGAACCAATATTTTATAATAAGCTTAAATGGAGTATAATCTATAAAAATATTGAATCACTATATTGTACACCTGAAACTAATATAACATTGTAAATCAACTACATTTCAATAAAAAAATAAATCTGAAAATAACATTTCAAAGTAAGAAGTATGGAGATCAGCAAGCACCGTACCTTGATCAAAAACTAAATAAACTTGACTCTAAGACTTTCTCCATCCCTCTCATACAAAGTAGTCCAAGAAACAGCACAGCATACGAAGTTTTCATGAAATACATTCTCATGTTGCTAAAAACAAACCTATATGAGACTGTGGGACCAGTAAGTCTTTCAAATCTATCCTCTGAAAAGCCCTGATGAAACTGCAGCTTGAAGTCTGACTTGTATGCTTTAAAAATAAAATGTTCTGGATAAAGCTAAGAAGTTTCCATTTGCAGATTTTAAAAAACTTATTTAAAAGTAAAATGTCTTTGCGAAAAGTTTATAGTTGTTAGATACTTGCTTTGCCATCAAGCATGTGGAAGCTCCCACCGGTAGAAACCACCATTCCTTTAGGTCTGAAAACTTCAGACGTCTGTATCCCACCCTCTCATTTCTTTACAGTCGCACTCAGTCACAGCTGCACATAGGTCCTCTAACTCCCACCAAACCACCGGGTGTAAAACAGCGCGCAACATATGGCCCTTAAACATTAACAGAGAAGCAGCTAATCAACATCCTTGAATCCTGTCAACACTCAAAGGGCAAATCACAATCTTCCTAAACCAGAAACAGATGCTTCTGGTCCCCAAAGAAACTGAAGGCTCCTCCCACACCCGCGAGAAAGCTACCAGGTTTCAGTTTTGCTTCATTTAAAAGATGAACAATTATGCACACGTGTGCTTCCTCCCCCCACCCCCTTACGTACACTTAAAATCCCTCCATTTTCTGCTTCCCTCAAGTTAGAGAAAACCATCATAAATACGCTCGCTTGAGAGGCATTAGCAACTCATTTTGGAGACTGTTTCACAAGACAGGCAGAGAGGTGAGCGAGCAAAGTTCGGCTGAGTTTGTTTTTTTTTTTTAATTCCTGCACGACCAGGCAGTCATGCATATCAGTTTTCAAACAATAAAGGCGTTTGGAATACACAATGATGCAAAGTAACGCGAGGCACAAGCAACAGACACGATGCAGCTGGTGAGGTCCATGTCACAAAGACTGTTCCCGCAGCACGCGAGCCGGAGTCACAACCCTGCAAGTCCCAGGCTCGCTGCTGCCTCAAATCGCATCCGGTTCCAGGTCTCAAAGCCAACAAGCTGCAGAACCGGCGGCTGGGGGCGGGGGACGGGGTGGCCCAAGAGGAAGAATCGGACAAAGATCGGGCGCCCCTCTTGCAGGGCGAGGCCCGGAGAAAGTGAGGGGGGACTGCGGCAGCAGGGAGGACGCGCGGGGAAAGACCACCGAGCAGGGGTGGGGGGAGGGAAGGGGAGATGTGGCAAAGGCGCAAGGCTGCCGGCTGCAGCTCAGGCCG